TGATTTCAGACCCCAGTACCAACATATGCCAAACTCTATGTTGCCTCAAAAACCCCACATCATCTTTAAGGGCTCTATACACTGCAAGTTATGGAGTGGAGGCAGTCCATGCAAGTGGAAACCAAAAGAAAGCAGGAGTATCCTTAACACATCATGTCAAATAGACTTGCAATGTAATGAAAAGTGACAAAGATCACAGTTCAATAACAAACAGAGGAAGTGGAACTGTGGCTTAAGTGTTAGAGCTCTCACCTTGAGCTGAAGAGCTGAGTGATAGTGCCCAGGCCCAGATTTCAAGCCTCAGGACTGACAAAAAGAAAAAGAAAGAAAAAAACAACTACATATCAAATCACCAACATGACTTACCAATTTTAAATGTATATATATATATATATATATATATATATATGTATATATATATATATGTATATATATAGATAAATGTGTATATATATATATATATACTCATTATCCAAGCACTTCACTACATAAAGGAAATATTAGTAGAAAAGAGAGAGGGTCCCCAATACAATCATCACTAAACAATGTCTAGAGAGATCATTCAGAAAAATGAACAGGGATTCATCACAGAGAAATTTCACTCTAAATCAAAGTGAGCTTCACACCTATGGAGCATATCAACCAATTTATGAACAGGACATCACTTCTTCACACATTGAACATTTTCCCTGATAGATTAAGAAAGATGACTCAAAACCAGCCTAAAAATTTAACAAATATTGAATTTTTCTTTAACAAACATTGAGACCATGGTGTAGTAAGAGTAAAATTAGGGAAATCTGAACATACACAAAATTTCAATGAATTATTATTAAGCCACCAAATGGTCAAGTCAAAATTCAAGAAATAAAAACTGAAAATGCAAACAATACCAAATTCTATGGATATTGCAAAAGGAAGATTAAAATAATTTTTTTCTTCTTTTCTTTTTTCCTATCCTGGGCTTCAATTCATGGCATGGGCACTCTTCATGAGCTTCTTTGTGGTCAAGGCTAGTGCTCTACCACAACCCCACCTCTGATTTTTTCTGTAATTAATTAGACATAAAAATGTCATAGACTTTCCATCTGGGCTAGTTTTGTACTGCTATCCTCAGACCTTGGCCACCAGAGTAGCTAGGATTACAAGCATGAGGCAACAGCACCTGGCTTTTTTTAATCCTTAATTGTCCAAAGAGGTTTAAATTCAACATGTCAGTTGATAAGTACAATGTATCTCAATATCATTACTTCGATTGTTCTTCCCCATCTTTCCCAGCCTCACCCATATACTCAAGTTTCTTGCTTTAATGGAAACCATAACACCATTATACAAAGTTGAGTATTAAAAAAGCTTAACTGCATTTCAAGAAACTAGATAAACAACTAAACGCAAAATTAACAGTGAATGAAATAATTGAGTTAGAGTAAAAGAAATTGAGAATAAAAACACAGTAATAATAATCAATAAAGCAAAGAGGAGATTCTTAAAATAAAGGAAAAAGTCCTTGTCTTAGGCAATGAAAAATGGAGAAAAGACTGAAGCAAGTACCATGAAAACAGAAGCACAAAAGATCATTTAAGGTCTGTACAGAAAATGACATGTCAATAAATTTTATAACATGGATTAAATGTCATGGAGCACTTTCCAAAGCTAAACTAGGAAGACACACACACAAAAAAAACCCCTGTTTTCACTGTATTTGATGTTGGTTAATTTGGAGAGGTGAAGGGAAAAACAAATTGTTTAATTAAGGATACAGGTGGACCCACTGCAACAATGAGATGTAAAAGTTCTTATGTCGAAAAACAAGCTTTACAAATTTTGCGGGGGGGCGGGGGAGTAGGTAGGGTGGAGGGAGGGGGGAGATGGGAAGGGATGGGAAGGGGAAACAAAGGAGGAGGCAACAATGCTTGATAAGAAATGTACTCATTATCTTGCCCATGTAATTGTAACCCCTCTGTACAGTATTTTCACAATAAAAAAAAAAGAAATGGACTCATTACCTTGCTCATTGTAACCCCTCTGTATGGTATTTTCACAATAAAAACAAGCTGGACATGAAGCTGTGTCCCAAGTGGTAGAGCACCAGCCTTAAGCTGAAAGGCTGAGGAAGAGTGCCCAAGCTCTGAGTTCAAGGCCCAGAGCTGATATAAACAAACAAACAAACAAACAATAAATCTTGTTCTGTGATACCTAAAAAAACTTGCGAAAAAAACCTGGCTTGCACTAGTTTGGAATGGCAACTGAAAAACATTACCATGTTGTCTGTGGGTATAGAGTTGAGTCAAATTTTTGCCCTCTGACACCTAATGCAATAGTCTATTTATGACAAAGACATTCTAGAGGACATATTAATACCTTTAACCAATACCATCCATACATTTTACTTCCTGATTACCAATAACAACTCTTTATATTTTCAAGGAGCTAAGAAATATACAGATATTAGAGAAATAAGATTCAATGTGTCTATAAAAGAGCACTAACAAAATCATTTAATATAATTAGGGATGTCAGGGAAAGGAAAATCAAGTAAAAGTAGAAAAACTGGAGTTTAAGAACAAGTGGGCTGGGATGATGGCTCATTGGAGAGTGGTTGCCTTGCATGCATGAAATCCTGGGTTTGATTCCTCAACACCATATAAGCAGAAAAAGCTGGAAGTGATGCTGTGGTTTAAATGGTAGAGCACTAGCCTTGAGCTGAAGAGCTGAGGACAGTGCCCAGGCCCAGAGTTCAGGCCCCAAGACCGACAAAAGAAAACAAGTAAGATATGGAACCAACCCAGATGCCCTTCAGTAGATGAATGGATCAAGAAAATGTGGTATATATACACAATGGAATGCTATGCTTCCATCAGAAAAAATGACACAACCCCATTTTTAGGAAATGGAAAGACTTGGAAGAAATCATAGAAAGTGAAGTAAGCCAGACCCAAAGAAATATAGGTCCCTTGGTTTCCATCATTTGCAATAATTTTATCAGATGAGCAGAAAAGCTCAAAAGCTATGTACAAATATAAGGTGATGCTAGGTGAAATGAAAGATATGGACACAAGAGGTCTTTCTTTGTTGTTATTGTTTTTAATGTATTATGTGATTTTTTTGTTTCCTTGTATGTTTTCCCCCTATGGTATATCACCTGTTGTCACTGTACTTGATTTTGGCACCCTGTATCTTCTAAATACATTTGTCTAACTTAGGGAGGGGAGAAGGAACAACAAAACACTGAAACAAGGACACAGGATGACCCATTGCAACAATGATACCCAAAAGATAGTATATTGGAAATGAACTTTACAACTTGGGGCAGGAGGATTGGGAAGAGGAGTGAGGGAGGTGGGAGAGAAAAGGGATAGTGGAAAACAACAAGGGAGGGGGTAACAATACTCGGCAAGAAATGTACTCATTGCCTTATTCATGTAACTGTAACCCCTCTGTACAGCATCTTTACAATGAAGTAAAATAAAATAAAATAAAAACAAGTATCTAGGAGTGAAAGGAAAAAGCAGAGTTTGGATCCTTCGATGATTCAGATCTCTTCAATAATGGGGAAGACAGTAATTGCTTGTCCCAACATCACTGTGTGGCAAGCTACCTCAGGCTACCCTTGTCATGCCAGTACTTGAAAACAGGTGAACGAAATTCATAGAGGTCAAGAATTTAATGTATGTCTTACAAAAGAAGACTGAGGGAGCGGGTGTAAGAATGAGTGAAATGATGAAAATGGTCATATTGATAAAGAAATATTATATTCGTAAATTGTTATATGGAAACTCCTCTGGTGATGACATTTCTCTTGCAATAGGAATCATATCAGATGCTATAATTCCTTGAAATTCCTACTTAGCAGTTTAGCAGACCAGAACCTCAGGATGTGTATAGGCACCAATAAGGAAGAACAAATCCAGGGCAGATATGCCTGTCAGCTCTGGGCCATGCAATAAACCAGACATATAATAAAATAGAGCTTAGTCTGAAATACTGACTTAATCCCTACAGTAAGATGTTTTTTTCGGTCATGGGACTTGAACTCTGGACCTGGGCGCTGTCTCTCAGCTCTTCAGCTCAAGGCTAGTGCTCTACTGCTTGAGACACAGCACCACTTCTGGTTGGAGATAAGAGTCTCATGTAATTTCCTGTCTGGGCTGGCTGTGAACCATGATCCTCAGATCTCAGCCCACTGAGTAGCTAGGATTACAGGCATGAGCCACCAGCACCCGGCAGTAAGATATTTTTTAAAGTCAACAAAATAGATGTCACTTCATACTTAGTAAACAAACTCCTCAGACCACTGGTTTATGGGGTAGGAAAGGTGTCTGCAGCTTCAAAGTACAGAACTCATGAGACTGACTCAGATTGTTAGTAATAACATCATTTCATCAGCTGCAAAGACAGCTGGGATGGAAGAGATAGAAGGATGCTAAGAAAAGTAGAGAGGTCACAGCCCTGGAAAGGAGAAGCTACATGGAAGGAAACCAGTTCTCTCCTATTAGCAACAGAAAAATCTCTCAAAAGTAGAGGAGTGTCTGCAAATGAATATTCAAGGAGAACTCAAGTCATGTAATTCCTTAGAGAGGCTAAGTCCAATTTTAGCAAAAGAAAACACCAGAACTTGGGTACTCCAAAATAGTGGGGTAAGAGAAAAGAGGTGAAAAAATGAAGAGAAGAGGAGACAATTTGGTCAATACTGTGATGTATATCTTACAAAATTAAGAAGAGTGAGGGAAGAGGTAGGTAGGGAAGCAGTAGGTAGGAGAGGGTTTGTGAGAGTGTTCAAAGGGGTGACATTGATCAAGATATATTGTATTATGAACTGCTTCATTAAATCAAAATTCTTTGTACACCTAACTAAAGATGACAAGAAGGAGAAGAAAACAGATGTGTCTATTGCTGTGGAAGAAGGGGTAAAAGAGACAGAGAACAATGATGTGTTTCCTCAGCCACTGCCCACTCTGAGAACAAAACAGTGAATGGAAATCAAATGATGAGTTACTTACCTCATATTCTCTTCTTGCTTTGAAGTATCACTGATGCTGTGCTCTCCTCCCAAAGTGTAGAGAGGGAAAAACCCAGCAATCATCAAGTCTCCATCCTTATGTGCTCTCTTTTTCATTCTAGAAATGCAGCTTGTGCCAACCAAGAAACTGACAAAATGGGTAAGATGGAAAAGGATTAGAAAAGTCAAAGGAAACATCACTGCAACAAGCTGAAATTCTGGCTGGAAGTGAAGCCCACAGTGTGAGGAGTATGTATAAGTTTCTTGAATTGGTGTGTATATGTGCAGATGGTTCTTTATAGAAAGTGATGGACACCCTAACCCACATACTTTCATAACACCCACCTCTAGTGCCCAGGAGAAATGTGTAAAACTCAGCCCTGGGGCTCTACATCTGAGGCCCAGCATCCAGGAGAAAAACACAGGTTGGAAAATACATTTGCAGACCCTCTTCTCCACCCCAGGTGCTATGATTTGATCTAAAACCACAGATTGTGAGGCCCCAGGGATAAAGTTCTCTGGGACACATCTGTGTAAGACAGTTTTTGCACAAAAGCCATGTAGGATGATGTAACTTGATGGTATTGGAAGATGCCACGTCAGCTGCATGTGAAATGACCAGAAAAAGTCCAGGCCATTAAGATGTCAGTCAACCAAAGTTAGTAGTGTATCACACCCACGGGGTTGCTTCACATACCCAGTATTCATAACAGTCACAGAACATTGCCAGGTGATCCAGGAAGGTTTCAATAACTATTCCATATGCAGAAGTCTCCACAAATGCACCTGGGGAAGCAATGGTGCTGCTGAAAACAGCAATGACACATTAGTAACTCCATGTTGATGCTAAGTTTGAGTTGCACATTTGTATTCTGAACTTTGACTTTCACACAGGTAATTTGTACTAAATATGGAAACATGGATGAAGACATTGTCATGATGCACTGATAGAGCCAAAACAGTGTGCTTTTCTATTTCAAGTTTTCTCAGAACATGTCATTATGGTGGAAATCCTTCTGTCTTTCACAAACCTAAATCCATATAAAAACCAGCTCTAGCCAAGTGCTAGTGGCTTATACCGATAATCCTAGCTACTCAGGAGGCTGAGATCTGAGGATCACTGTTCAAAGCCAGCCCTGGAAGGAAAGTCCATGAGACTTATCTCCAATTAACTACCAGAAAACCAGAAGTGGCACTGTAGCTCAAGTGGTACAGCACTGGCCTTGAGCTTAAGAGCTCAGAGAGAGTGCCCAGGCCCAGAGTTCAAGGTCCATGACCGACAAAAAAAGACATGCCTCTATTTTATACTAGTCAACATATATTGCGACCAAATCAACAGCATTGAACTATGACTTCACAATACTGTACAAAGTTGAAACAAAACTGTATAGTATTCACATACTAATTATTTTTGACAAGGTAAGAAAAAACATTGAAGAAAGAACAGTTTGTTTTTCTTTTTTCTATTTCTTTTTTCTTTCTTTTTGTGGTATTATTACTTTATTACTTTTTTATTTATTTATTTATTTTTTTAAATTCAATTTAATTTTATTTGTGAACATACTGTACAGAGGAGTTACAGTTACATGGGCAGGATAATGCGTACATTTCTTACGAAGCATTGCAGCCTCCTCCTTTGTTTATCCTTCACATCCCTTCCCAGCCTCCCCCCACCCCCCCCAATCCCAATCCTTCTCCTTCCCCCCCCCCCTCCCCGCACCAACGTTGTAAAGCTCGTTTTGGACATGACAACTTGTACTTCTCATTGTTGCAACAGGTCCACCTGTATCCTTAAACAACTGGTTTTTCCCCATCTCCTCCACAAGTTATACTGACATCAAATATAGTGAAAGCAGGGGTTATACTGTGGAGGAGGGACATACAAAGCAACAAAGAGATAATCTTATAAATGTGTTAGAAACACATGCATGAAAGAAAAAAAACATTAAAATACACATCTAAGGGTTCATTTTCCTGACATCACATTATCTGACCTTTTCCGCTTGACTCATACATATACTAGATATTACAAATAAGGGAAACCTTGGGACCTACGTTTCTTTGGGCCTGGCTTACTTCACTTAATATAATTTTTTCCAAGTTTTTCCATTTCCTAACAAATGGGGCAATGTCATTCTTTCTGATGGAGGCATAGAATTCCATTGTGTATATATACCACATTTTCTTGATCCATTCATCTACTGAGGGGCATCTGGGTTGGTTCCATATCTTAGCTATGGTAAATAATACTGCAATAAACATAGTTGTGCTGGTAGCTTTAGTGTGGTCTTGTTTGTAAACATTAGGGTAAATGCCCAAAAGTGGGATTGCTGGGTCATAGGGGAGCTCTATGTGAAGTCTTTTGAGGAACCTCCATACTGCTTTCCAAAGTGGTTGAACAAGTTTACATTCCCACCAACAATGAAGTAAGGTTCCTTTCTGTCCACATCCCCTCCAGCATCTGTTGTTGTTAGAGTTCTTGATTTTTGCCGTTCTAACTGGAGTGAGGTGATATCTCAATGTTGTTTTGATTTGCATTTCTTCTATGGCTAGGGATGTTGAACATTTCTTCATGTGTCTATTGGCCATCCTTCTTTCTTCTTCAGAGAAGCTTCTCTTTAAGTCTTTCGCCCACTTACTTATTGGGCAGTTGTTTCTTTGAGGATTTGTTGTTGGGTGGTTTAATTTTTTGAATTCCAAGTATATTTTAGATATGAGACCCTTGTCCGTTGTATGGCTAGTAAAGATCTTCTCCTAGTCCGTGGGCTTTCTATTGATCTTGCTAGCTATGTCATTTGCCCTGCAGAAGCTCTGCAACCTTATACAATCCCATTTGTCCAACCTTTCTTTGATTTGTTGTGTTTCCGGGTCTCTATTCAGAAAATTTCGGCCTGAGCCAAGGAGACCCAGGGTTTCTCCTATTCCATCCTGTAATGTTTTCAGAGTGTCTGCTTTGACTTCAAGGTCTTTGATCCATTTGGAGTTGATTCTGGTGCAGGGTGATATATAAGGATCTAGGTTTAGTTTTCTACATGTAGTTAACCAGTTTTGCCAGTACCATGTACTGAAGAGGCTGTCTTTCTTCCATTCTATTGTTTTAGCTCCCTTATCGAAGGTTAGATGGCTATAGGTCTGTAGGTTCATTTCTGGGTTTTCAATTCTATTCCATTGGTCCTGAGGTCTGTTCTTATGCCAATACCAAGCTGTTTTGATTACTATGGCTTTATAGTAGAGTTTGAAATTTGGTATTGATATTCCTCCAGCAGTGTTCTTTCCGTTGAGGAGCGTTTTTGCTATTCGGGGTCTTTTATTGTTCCATATGAATTTTTGGATTGCCTCTTCTATTTCCTTGAAGAATGAGGGTGGAATTTTGATAGGTATTGCGTTGAATTTGTAGATAGCCTTGGGAAGTATTGCCATTTTCACGATGTTAATCTTTCCAATCCAGGAGGATGGGAGGTTTTGCCATTTTTTAAGTTCTGTGTTGATTTCCTTTTTCAAGATTTTAAAGTTTTCATCATAGAGGTCCTTCACTTCTTTAGTTAAGTTAATTCCGAGGTATTTTATTTTTTGTGGGGCTATTACAAATGGAGTTGCTTTCCTAATTTCAGCCACACTTTTCTCATTGTTGGCATACAGAAAAGCCATTGATTTTTGGGGGTTAATTTTATAACCTGCTACTTTGCCAAAGTTTTGAATCAGCTTGAGTAATTTGGGAGTGGAGTCTATGGGATTCTTTAAATACAAGATCATGTCATCTGCAAAGAGGGAGAGTTTTATTTCTTCTTTCCCTATTTGGATCCCCTTTATGTCTGCATCTTGTCTTATTGCTGTAGCTAGGCATTCTAATACTAGATTGAAGAGAAGCGCAGAGAGTGGACATCCTTGTCTTGTTCCTGAGTTAAGAGGAAATGGCTTTAGTTTTTCACCATTGAGTATAATGCTGGCTGTAGGTTTGTCATATACAGCCTTTATTGTATTGAGGAATGTTCCATGGATTTCTAATTTTTCCAAAACCTTCATCATAAAGGGGTGTTGGATCTTGTCGAATGCTTTTTCTGCGTCTATTGAGATAACCATGTGGTTCTTATTCTTCCTCCTGCTGATGTGATGAATAATATTAATTGATTTGCGTATATTGAACCAACTTTGCATCCCTGAAATGAATCCTGTTTGATTGCGGTGTATGATTTTTTTGGATGAATTGTTGAAGTCGATTGGCCAAAATTTTGTTGAGAAGTTTTGCATCAATGTTCATCAAAGAAATGGGTCTATAGTTGTCTTTCTTTGATGAGTCCCTGCCTGGTTTTGGGATGAGGGTTATGATGGCTTCATAGAATGTGTTCGGTAGTGAGCTTTCTCTTTCAATTTCATTGAAGAGTTGGAGGAGTATTGGTGTGAGCTCTGCTTTGAAGGCCTTGTAAAATTCCGCTGTAAAACCATCTGGTGCTGGACTTTTCTTAGCAGGGAGGTCTCTTATTGCTTTTTCTAATTCAATGCTTGATATGGGCCTGTTAAGCTGGTTTAACTCATCTTGGTTTAGTTTTGGCATGTCAATATTTGCTAGGAAGAGGTCCATTTCTGTCAAGTTCTCAAACTTATTAGCATAAAGTTTTGAGAAGTATTCCCTTATAATGTTCTGAATCTTGGTTGTTTCCGTGGTGATGTTTCCATTCTCATCTCTGAGTTTATTAATTTGGGTGTGTTCTCTTCTTTTTCTGATAAGATTTGCTAAGGGTCTGTCAATTTTGTTAAGTTTTTCGAAGAACCAACTCTTTGTTTTGTTGATTCTTTCTATAGTTTATTTGGATTCTAATTCATTTAATTCTGATTTAATTTTGATTATTTCTTTCCGTCTACTGGATTGGGGTTTATCTTGCTGCTCTTTTTCAAGGAGGTTTAGATGTGTCATTAAATTGTTAGTTTCAGATCTCTCCAATTTGTTGATGTAGGAGCTCAGAGCTATAAACTTGCCTCTGAGTACTGCCTTTGCTGTGTCCCAGAGGAGCTGGTAATTTGTGTGTTCATTTTTGTTGAATAGCATGAACATTTGAATTTCCTTTCTAATCTCTTCCATGACCCACTCTTGATTCAGCAGTGTGTTGTTCAGCCTCCATGTGATACTGGACTTTCTTTGGTGGCTTTTGGTGTTGAGTTCTAATTTTATTCCCTTGTGGTCAGAGAGAATGCAAGGTATAACTTCAATGTTTCTGAATTTAGACAAGTTTGCTTTGTGGCCTAAAATGTGGTCTATTTTAGAAAACGTTCCATGTGCTGCTGAGAAAAACGTGTATTCTGATGCTGCTGGGTGAAATGTTCGGTAGATGTCTGTTAAGTCTAGTTGATCTATGCAGCTGTTTAGATCTGCGGTTTCTCTGTTGAGTTTTTGCCGAGTTGATCTATCTAGTGGGGAGAGTGGTGTGTTAAAATCCCCAACAATTAATGTCTTTGGATCTATATGGTATTTGAGGGAAAGTAGTGTTTGTTTGATAAATTTGGGTGCTCCATTGTTTGGCGAATAGATATTTAGAATTGTAATATCCTCCTGAAGGAGAGATCCTTTAATTAGTATGTAGTGACCTTCTTTATCTCTTCTCATGAATTTTAATTTGAAGTCTATTTTATCTGATATTAGGATTGCAACTCCCACCTGTTTATGGGGGCCATTTGCTTGGTAGATTTTTTTCCAGCCTTTAACATTGAAAATGTGTTTGTTTTTACGGGCAAGATGTGACTCCTGCAGGCAGCAGATAGAAGGGTCTTGTTTTTTAATCCAACTAGACAGTCTATGTCGCTTAATTGGAGA